CGGCCGCCCCCACCGGCGCGCCCTATTCCAGGGCCAGCCAGCGCGGCGGGGCCCGCGGCGCAGGTACCGGGCTGGGATTGGGACCCCCGCCTGGGAGGGATGCGAGCGGGCACCAGGGAGGGACAGCCGGCAGGAGCGAGGTGGGGAGGGTCGGGAAGGAGGGATGGGTGGTAGGGAAAGCGGAGCATCGAACAGGAGAAGCCCCGTGCAGCCGCCAAGTGTTCCGTCTGTCCCAGCCCGAGCCAGACTGTGGTGCAGGAGAAAGAATCCCCTCCCCGATGAATCCTGTGAGGAAACGGGTCCAGACAAGGGAAGGGAGATGCCTAAAGTCACTCATAGTCAGGACTAGAATTTGGGTCGCCTGAAGCTCAAACTCCAGCCACTTCCCTCTGCAATTTGGGCCTGGAGGATGGGGCAGCGTGGGAACGCCGGCCGCCTCCCGGCGCTCTGTGCCGGCCCTACCTTTCGGTGCAGCTGAACAAACCCTTCCTGAGATTCTGCCTTTAGTTGTCTGGAAATCACTTCATCTTTAGCCCCAGATCAGTGTGTGACCTTCCCTCCCCTGACCACAGCCTTCAAGCTGTCTCAGTCCAATCTAGGATCTGGATCAGGATTGGGACTGGAATTCACACGAGGGAGTGGGGGTGGGAGGCCAAGAAGGACACCTGAGGGGCCCCTGGATGGGCCCAGATCTCTCTTGTAACCGTCCTGGTCTCCACCTCCTCCTCTGCCCCTGACCAGGTGTTCTGCTTGAACTGACTGGGTCCCAATCCCAACCTGTACTCTCTTAGATCCTCAAACACCCAAGACACTGGGTCTTTGGTGAACAATTTTCCATTCCCCTTTTTGGTCTATAGTTGGTTCCTCTCGCAGAGATTCCTAGAGTAGCAGAGCTTGAAGATCACCTGACACAACCCCTAAAAGAATATAAACTGAGGCTTATCAAATGACCCAGCAAATCAGTGTCAGAGCTCAGAATAGAACTCAGGGCTCCAAAATCCACACAAGGATCTTTCCACTGCTACAATCTACCAACCTCTTAAAATGGGCTTACATAAAATGTAAAGTTTCAGTCTTGCTGAAGAGAGGCTGCACCAAACCATTTTCTGGGTCTCCAGTCTCATTCATGCCTCAGGTTGTTTTGTCTATCCCCTTTTGCACCTTTCTGGATAATGTTGAGAAAGAGCACAAAGGATTCTTTCCTGCACCAGCCCCAATGGGCTGGATTTGAAATGGTGACAGCATTGTCTTTGAGCCAGGGCGTACCAGGGTTCTCAATGGTTAAATTCAGCTGGTAGCCTACTTTGCTCCAGGCTGGGAGGAGGGTGGGGGTGTAGGGAAGTCTATCTTTTAAAAAGTAACCTTGCCTCTGATCCTGACCTACCTCTCTTGGGGATGGGACTGGACAGGGAGGAGGGATTCTGCATGGGATGTTCATGTTCCCCCAAAGCAGCACTGGCCCTACATTACTTGTATTCCAAACTGATCTTGAATGATAATCCTTTAATAAACAACACATTTCACCCTTTTCGTAATTCCCTCCTTTTTGCAACCAGAAATTGCTACGCTTTGCTATGGGCTTTTATTTCTAGCAGGACTATCAAAAATCAGCAAAATTGTAAGTATGGAAATCTTTTAGGAAATTCAGATTCTCACTTTCTTGGTTTCTGAGACTCAAAGTGCTGCTATCTAGAAAAGGGGAGTGAGATTCAAAAACAGTGATGTTGCAGAGGGGGTCCAAAGCGGGGGGGGGGGGTGGAGGTAACCAGATGCTCACGGAATTTCCTGCCATCCGAGTTAAGCCTCTGTATTAGTTTTCTATTGCTGCTGTAACAAATTAGTACAAACTCAGTGACTTACAAACAGTACACACTTATTATCTAAGAGTTCTGTAGACCAGAAGTCCAACACTAGTCTCAAAGGGCTAAAATTGTGTCAGCAGGGCTGCGTTCCTTTGGGAAAGATCTAGGGGAGACTGTTTCCCTGCCCAGTTCAGCATGTAGAGGTTACCTTCACTCCTTGACTCATGGCCTTTTCCCTATTTTCAAAGCCACCAAAGGCAGGTTGGGTCCTTCTCACATCTCATCACTGTGATCTCCTCTCCTGCCTCTCTCTTTTCCACTTTTAGGGGCCTCTGTAATTACATTGGACCCACCCCAATAATCCAGGATAAACTCCTCATCTCAAAATCATTAACTTAATCCATCTGCAAAGTCTTTTTTTTTTTGTCATATAAAGTAACATACTTACAGGTTCCAGGGATTAGGAGATAGACATTTTTGGGGGTGAGAAGGCTTTATTCTGCCCACCACACCCCGCTGTAACCTCCCATAAAGGATTCCATGTGAGAAGGAAGGAATCATGGACATTTACCATAAGAACATAACCTTGACATTAGGACAAGATTTGGGTGTTAGTGAAATCATTGTCAAATATGGGTTTCATATCACCATGTATTTTTCCTTTTATTTCAATTATGTAAAATACCTACATCTATGTCCAGGAAGGATTTTCAATAGGATTCTTCTTCCTTGCCCCTGATGTATGGTAATCAAGGGATGAAATGAAATTCGGGAGTTGTTTAAAAAAAAAAAAAGACTTGATTCCTTTTGACTTAACTAAATACATGACATATAGCATATTTCAGGGAGGTGGCTCAAAGTCAACAAGCAGGATGTTTACTAGGTCCATGAGATAATATTGATTTTTTTTGTGGTGGAAAATATTACCTCAGAGAGAGGCAGCCATTCAGTGAAAAGCCCCTTTAGGCTGGGAGTCAGGAAAATTGGAGTCCCATCCATGACCTGCTATTTTCTGGCTCACACACCTTCCAAAACCTCAGGCTTCTCACCTGTAAAATGGGTATAAGAACAACTCTGCATCTCTGACTTCACGGGGTTGTTTGTTTTGTGCTCTATGATCTCTAAAACGTTATTGAAAGTAAGGTATGATTTATTTTCTTAATTGAATACCTCCAGGAAGCAGGATAAAACCAAGAGAGCATGAGCCAGGGGGAGCGGCAGAGGGAGAGGGGAAAGTAGGGCCCCCCCCAACCCTCAGCAGGAACCTGATGCAGGGCTCTATCCCAGGACCCCGGGATCATGAAGGCAAACCCTTAAGCGACTGAGCCACCCAGGAACCCCAAAGATGTGTGGTATTATTACTAAGTGCTTGGTACCTTTTTTTTTTAAGATTAATTAATTTATTTGAGAGAGAGAGAGAGGGAGGGACAGAGGGAGAGGGAGAGAGAATCTCAAGCAGACTCTGCGGTGAGCATGGAGCCAACGTGGGACTTGATCTCACCCCTGAGATTGTGACCTGAGCCGAAACCAAGAGTCAGAGTCTTAACCAACCTACTGTGCCACCCAGGGGCCCCGGTGCTTGGTACTTTTGAGTAGGAAAGATACAAGCTTCTTTGCTTTTGTAGCCCCAGGGCTAAATACATGGTAGGTCCTCACAAAAGTATTTGGTGAATGAAAAAAATGAAAGGGGTGACTGCGAGAGTTTGGTGGAGGTGGAGGGTAGATACCAGTGGACATCTCTGCTCCTGAAAACCAGACACACGGACAGAATTGGAAGCACAACAGATGTAGATCAGATTGTCATTCCTCTTCTCACTTTTAAGTATCTCAGGCTCTCGGGGCCCCAAAGTTCACTAAACCTGCTGAATGATGAGAAGGAAGGAGCACTTAGGGCTACTCTGCGTGTGGTTTTTACCCCGTTGGTGAGGGAGTAGAAGAAGGAAGCTTCCAGAAAAGCACCAGTGTGCTTGCCTCGAACTCTGCCATTGCCTGAGGTGTCTGTGAAGCCTGGGCAGGGCACCGAGGCTGTCCCGAGTTTACCTTTCACCCTGTTCAGGGCCACTGTCCCATTGCCACTGTTCCATTGTCCCATGGCTGAGGTGCCCAAGAAAGGTCTGGAAACCATTCATTCCTGGGAGTCAAGAGGAACCTTGGGAGCAATACCTGAAGCAGAGGGATGAGGTTCTAGGTGAAAGTTTGAGGTTCAGCCAGCCCGTAGGTGAGATATTTGGAGAAACTTCACCCCTCTATGTGAATTCTCACTAGGGAATTCGGAAGGACCTTAGTGCTTTCAGCATCTAAAGGGAGGATGGTCTTGGGGGAAGATAGCAGACAGGGGCCCTCCAACCCCAGGGCTCTCTGGGTGTGAGGATTGCCCCATTTCTGATTGGGCTCCCATCCTTGCTCAGCCGTGCCCATTCCCCACACCCTACTTTGCAGGTGTTTGCAAGAGCAGGCCCTTGGATTTGGTGTTTATCATCGATAGTTCTCGCAGTGTGCGGCCCCTGGAGTTCACCAAGGTGAAAACCTTTGTCTCCCAGATAATTGACACTCTGGACATTGGGGCGCTGGACACACAGGTGGCAGTGGTGAACTATGCTAGCACTGTGAAGATTGAGTTCCACCTCCAGACCTACTCAGATAAGCAGTCCCTGAAACGGGCCGTGGCCCGGATCACCCCCTTGTCAACAGGCACCATGTCAGGCCTGGCTATCCAGACAGCGATGGATGAGGCCTTCACAGTGGAGGCAGGTGCTCGGGGGCCCACTTCCAACATCCCTAAGGTGGCCATCATCGTGACAGACGGGAGGCCCCAGGACCAGGTGAATGATGTGGCGGCTCGGGCCCGGGCATCTGGTATTGAGCTCTATGCCGTGGGTGTGGACCGGGCCGACATGGAGTCCCTCAAGATGATTGCCAGTGAGCCCCTAGATGAGCACGTTTTCTACGTGGAGACCTACGGGGTCATTGAGAAACTTTCCTCTAGATTCCAGGAGACCTTTTGTGGTAAGTCTTTGCTCCCAACTAGAATATTCAGATATTGTATATCCAAAGAAAGAGAGTTATTCTTTTTTTTTTGTAGAAACTTTATGGAAAACTGAAATATAAGCAGTGCTTTTCTTGAGTTTTTTACCAACTTAAACACACTTTGTTGGTTTAGGAATATAGAGTTGCTTTATATATAACTTGGTTTGCTCATAAAAATCTTCATGTTTGCATTAGAAATGTGAAGGTCTGGAAATATCCTGCTGGATAAATGATCCTGCTGTTCCCTGATGGGGTCAGAAAAAAAAAAAAACAAAACCAAAAGCCACCTCAAGACACCTCTTTTCTCCCATCTGCCCACAACTCCATTTTTCCCAGATATTTTCTTTAGCTTTACCATCTCTGGCTTTAACAGAACTCTGTTTGTTTTCCTGCAGAAGATGGGCAGCAGCATCTGTCTGCCCATGGAAGGATCCGGGGGCTTTCCAGTGTAACTGTCAGACAGGGTTTTGCTTATTCTCTAGATCCTCTAGTTTTCAGATTCTGCTCTTCCTCTGATTATTCTTTGTGGAGGGACAGGATTAAGAACGGGGGGAGGGATTGGGATTTCAGTTCACTTGTGAGATAGCAAGAAGCAGATTAAAAAAAAAAAAAGATTGTTACTGTCCTTCTGTCTTTTTTCGTGTAGGATAGAGTTTGAATATGAGCATGCTAATTTAATTGGAATTTGTAGCATGAATCAGTCAAATCCATGAATATGAATCCATTTAAGGCGGGGCTTTATTCTTAGTCACTGATCAGAATTATGAATACGTAAGACTCATACTTTTTTAAGTTTTTTTTTTTTAATATTTTTGCTTATTTATTTGACAGAGAGAGAGACAGCGAGAGAGGGAACATGAGCAGGGGGAGTGGGAGAGGGAGAAGCAGGCTTCCCGCTGAGCAGGGAGCCGGATGTGGGGCTCGACCCCAGGACTCTGGGATCATGACCTGAGTCGAAGGCAGATGCTTAATGACTGAGCCACCCAGGCGCCCCCTCTTTTTTTTTTTTTTAAAGATTTTATTTATTTATTTGAGAGAGAGAGAGTGCACGAGCAAGCACAAGCTGGGGTGGGGGTGGTGGAGGGGCAGAGGGAGGAGCAGACTCCCTGCTGGGCAGGGAGCCTGATGCAGGACTTGATCTCAGGACCATGGGATCGTGACCTGAGCCAAAGGCAGACGCTTAACTGACTGAGCCACCTAGGTGCCCAAGTTTCTTTTTTTCTTTGTATCCATCTATCTATGTTCTGTCTTTCTATCTACCCATATTCATGCTTTATTATTTTTTTTAATCATTTAGAGATATAATCTTTCAAAGCCCTCTGTGGAATTATCCAAACAGGTGTGGACAAATTTTTAGTTCAGGTGAATTTTAAAATGTAGATACCTTTTGCTGTGTAACCTATTCCCCACCTCTTTATTCGATATGCATTAATTGATCACTGATGATACAAAGATAAAGGTATTCCCTCCCTCCTGTCAAGCAATAGTCTGGAGGTGGTGACGAGAAACAAGTGAATCAGTAATTACAATTGCGAATTTCAAGGCGACTTTACATTGAAATTAATGTGGAACTTAGCAGTCACCCCAGTTTGTCAGGAAATGGGAGATGAAGTCTTGGTCTGGAGCAAAGTTTGGCCTCACCTCAGCCAGACCTGGCTGGTGGCCCCTTGTCTTTCCTATCCCAGGACACTGGGCCTTCACAAGCTGTCCTTGGCTTTGGTGGCATCTACTTGGCATTCATTGGTTTCTCAAAAGAACATGGCTTTCTTTCTCCCAGGAAAACCCCCTGTGCTTGTGGGTGATAGCTTTTCCATAAAGGCGTTGGTCTGTGGCAGAGTTGGTCTCAAAGCTAGCACCTGGGGTTGGGCTTGAAGGCCATAAAGTAGCAAGTGGTGAGTGGCAATCTTTTCGTTCTGGTACAAAAGACCTGCTTGTTCTGGGGGAAAAATGTCCTCTCTGTGGAAAAAAGACTGAGGGGCAGCTTGTTGTAGTCAATGGGTTGGAAAGATCATTCCATGAAAAGGCCCTTCTTGGGAAAATATTAGCCTTGACCTGTTGCCAGAGCAGTCGGGGCTGGGTTACCTGCCCAGGGGTGCCAGCCTCCTCCAACAGCCTCCTTGGTTTCTCAGAAATAACTAAATTCATTGATTCTTCTTTCAAAACATGTCACTAGGAAAAAAATCCAACAAGATATAAACACCTCCAGGAGTGAAAAGATGGGGATGCGGCTTAGCTGACGTGATCTCGTTTATTCTGTTCTTCTTTTCTTTTTACCCGCTTGCATCTATCCTGTGAGTCCATTCTCCTTGCAGATACCAGAGGCCCTGAAGTTGCGTTAGTGTACGTTTAGGCTCACGCACCCATGCTGCTCATTCAGAAGGCAGTTACCTGCCTTGCCCTCCACCATTTGCATGTTCAAATATGTATTGCCGTCCAAGAGTGAATGAGTTCCAGGCCGAGAGACATGCCTGTGTGTGAATTCTTTTTTGACACAGACTATAGAGCTCTTGGAAAGCAGATTCTGGCTGCAACAGGACAACTAGCTCATAGACCTTCCAGGGGTACATTGTAGTTCTTCCCGTTTCTTGCAGTTGGGAAGTAAAAGGTCTTTTTCCTGGGCTAGGTGGATACATTGAATAAAATATCAAGTTGTCTGACCCACGTAAGTGTTTGGCTTCAGCTCCAAATTCAAAATTTCCTTTCTCTTTGAGAAAGCTGAAATGAAATTTGTAATTTTAAATTAGTATCATAATTCGTGTAAGAGTGGTATTTCCAATAAGGTAGAGGCAGAAAACAAATAGTTTTTATAGCGAACCTCATTGAAAAGGAACCAGAGGGTGGTGTCTTTTTGACAGGGAAGGAAGTATCTGGAATGTTTCTTATGTGTCGATACTGACGATTTTACACTTCCGGTGTGCAGCTCCAGACCCGTGTGCCCTTGGCACACACCAATGTCAGCACGTGTGTGTCAGTGATGGGGAAGGCAAGCACCACTGTGAGTGTAGCCAAGGATACTCCTTGAACGCCGATATGAAGACATGTTCAGGTGAGGCCTGCTTCGGGGAGGGTGAGTGACTGGGACTTAGCTGGGGACCTACTCTCCAGGTTCGGGACTGGCCTTATGCTTTTCTCCTGACCGCCTTTTGGGTGGTTCACGGTTGCTTGTCAATGTTTTTCCTCTAAAATTGTTGGAGAAAAGTGAGGTAATACATAAATCAGCTTCTTTATAGTACCTATAATTAGTTTTCGAGAAAAGGGTTAGTAAGGAAATGGATTAGTCAGGAAGGGGGCCAGAACTCTTGGTCCTTTTGAGGATTTTGGAACTTTTCCTGGATTTTACTTAATTAAATACAAGCTGCCCCTTTGTCTCTGTGACCAGAACCGCTCATTGAATTTGGACACAGAAGAAAGTTAGAGAGGTTCTCATGCATCTGGTATATGGATACTCACATGCAATCAATAAAGATGGGAACTAGGTCCATTTTTTTTTTTTTAATCCTCGAAAAAAGTTTTTGAGAGGAAGGAAACTTAGAGATTATTTAATTCAACTTGCTCATTTTGTAGATGATGAACTTGAGACCCAGGCAAGGAAGAAGACTTACCCATGTCATGGGGTCTGTTAGTGAAAGAGCCAGCACAGAAATCGGTTCCCAACCTCCTGTCCCGTGGCCTTTCTCTTATGCCAAACAGTCCCTGTTTCAGTGTGTGTGTGTGTGTGTGTGTTTGTGTGTGTGTGTGTGTCATGGCTCATAATTAATTTACCACGTTTTCCTTGTGTTTACATTTGTCCTGATGGTCTTTTGATAGCTATCGATAAGTGTGCTCTGAACACTCATAGATGTGAACACATCTGTGTGAACGACAGAACTGGTTCTTACCATTGTGAGTGCTACGAAGGTTATACCCTGAACGAAGACAAGAAGACGTGTTCAGGTAAGTGGGGGAGGAGGCTCTCCTTTAGCTACCTCCCCTTCTGCATACCTCCTTAGCCAGTGTTGGAGGGGTAGGTCACACTGACAAGGCCCTTGGTTGGTTTTTCTCTCTTGGGCCTTTCCCATTTCTGAGTCGTATTAGAAAAGTCCAAAGTTGCAGCAGGTGTGTATGTCTCATGGCCCCCATGTGTGAGTGTGTTGTTCATTTCCTTCTCGGTAGCCAGCCCTGGTGGTGCTTTCCAAATGCTAAAGACAGTTTAGTAAGTTAAAATCAAAGAACGCTCCACAACATACTTATTACCTACAACGGGATAAACAGTTCCTTCATAGTGGAGAGACCTGGCAGACAGCACTTCAACCAAGTGATCAGAGGGAACTCCACCAGTAATGACCCACAGTGACATCATGCACCTCCTGATGCGATGTCCTGAGGGCACAGGAGCACCTCTGTTGTCTTCGTTAAGAATTCAGCATCATGAGGAAACTTCAAACGAACCCAACCGGGGAGGCATTCTACAAAGTAATTTTCCAGGGCTTTTTAAAGCTGTCAAGCTCATGAAAGACAAAGATGGAGGAAATGTCCCGGAGAGGAGGGGACTAAGGACATGAGACAATGAAGTGCAATGTGGATCCTGGACCAGAAAAAGGGCATTAATGGTAGAACAAATGGCAAAATTTTACTAAGATCTGTGGATTAGTTAATAGCATTGTGTCAGTGTTAATTTCCCGGTGTTGATAATTGTGCTATGGTTATATGGGATGTTAACATTTGGGGAAATGGGGTGAAGTACAGCACTTTTTGTACTATTTTTGGAACTCTTCCATATGCCTGCAATGATTTCAAAATGAAAAGTTTAAAGACCAAAAAAAAAAATTATCATGTCCGTTTAGAGAAAAGTGCATTGAGTGACAGTTTAGGTCTTGGGTTCTGATGCTGCTCTGAGTCAGCTGGTCTCCTTTGGATTCAGCTTCTTCACTTAGAACAGGGGAGGGCTGAATCACAGTTTCATCAAACTCAAATTCGATGTCTTTCTGAATCTAGTGTAATTAGCCACATAATTGTTGGTATCTCTCTGATTCAGCGTAAATACAATAAACCTAAAAGGAATGCTTTAGTATTTATTTGTTTGTTTATTTATTTAGTGTTTATGAGATACTTAGATTATAAAAACTCAGTTTGGATGATTTTGAAAAAGCAGTTGGGGAAAAAAGAAGAATAAGGACTGTGTCTGGGATTTTGCTAAACTCCGCTAACTTTTAGTACGAGCTTACAGTACGGATGGCTGTGGAAGGTTTCCAATAGGTTTGCCTCTCATATATTTCTAGCCGCAGGTAAGAAGATTTCTATATATGGGTAATAAAAGACTTCTCCACTTTTAATGTCTTTTCTCCTGGACTTTTTTTTTTGGCAGCTCAAGACCAATGTGCCTTTGGTACACATGGCTGTCAGCACATTTGTGTGAATGACAGAGATGGGTCCCATCACTGTGAATGCTATGAGGGTTACACTCTGAATGCAGATAATAAAACGTGTTCAGGTAAGGTCCACTCAACAAATTCTTTCCTAGCTGGCTCTTTCTATGGCAGTGAAACCAACTTGCAATTCACACAGTGAGAGGTTCTTAAAGATACTTTAACAAATCAGGCTCTAGACCTTCTTTTTTTTTTTTTTTAAAGATTTTATTTATTTATTTGACAGAGAGAGACATAGCGAGAGAGGGAACACAAGCAGGGGGAGTGGGAGAGGGAGAAGCAGGCTTCCCGCCGAGCAGGGAGCCCGATGTGGGGCTTGATCCCAGGACCCTGAGATCATGACCTGAGCCGAAGGCAGACGCTTAACGACTGAGCCACCCAGGCGCCCCAGGCTCTAGACCTTCTATCCTGCTTATAGACCAAGGCACACATTGCTCAGACAGCAGTGAGCTCACTTGATTTTGCGAATATAGCTCATTTCAGAAACGGGTAGGGAGTGAGGGATATGAGAAAAGCTAATTAAATGTAAGATCCTTATCCGGGAAAATTTTAGAGCTTTGTACACTGGGGACTTGTAAAGCAAATGGGAACTTTAGAGGAAATCAGTTGGACAGACACTGTTTGGTGTGATAGGCTGGACTGATCTTTTTCCAATTAAAACTTGCCCTGGAACTTTTCTGTAGCGTTAATCTTAAAGCTGGATCATTTTAGTAAAGGAGACTTTGTCAATGACTGAATTAGACCCACACAGATCTTCCAGTAAATTTGAAGTAAGTTGTTCCCTGACGGTTTCTAGATGATCAGTCTTCTGTGAATCTGAGCCTTATGACTTGGCGAATCCTCATTAATTTGATTTAAACTCACTGGCAGAACAGGATGGCATTTATAAAATAAAAACACTCCTGAGAGAAATTCCTGCCTCTAAAGGTGATGTTTAATTTTGGCCTATTCAAACTTTTTTTTTAATAGATTTTTATGTATATGCTCCTGTCTCTTGAGAAGAGATATTATGTGACCTTTTCAAGAGAGACTAAGGGAAATGGCACATGACCAATTCCCTTTAAAAAAAAAAAAAAGAAATCAATTAAAGAGGACTGAGCACCTATTTTGTTCCCAGGACTGTGCAAAGCCCTGTGGGGATGTAAAGAAGCACATTTTCTGCCTCTGAGCAATTTGCAGGCTGGGCCCAAAGAGAACCAACACCCTGAGAAAGCAGAGACTAGCCAGGGAGAGGGACAGACAGTAATGGAGGGCTATGGAAGTCTGGGGAAGGGCACGGAGCGTGTAGGGCAGCAGGTGGGCCTCGAGGATGGTGGAGGTTTAGATGGAGGACAGCAGAGCCAGATGGCCAAGGGGAGCGGCTTGTGTTGGTTTGTTCTGGGGGTAGGACTAAGTCAGTTGGGGTGGAGAGACCTCAGGGCTGCACTTCTCAAACTGGTTATAGGTATCCCACTTGGTACCTTAAGCAGCCAGGGACATTGAAGACCTTGAAAAAGGAAACTACAACAAATTTACATTTAAACTAATAGATATTGTGGAATAAAGTGGAACATTTAAAAAAAAAAAGTCAAAGAAAATGTTCAGTTAAGGCAGATTGCTCCAGGCCATACTCCCAGGTCACAATAGCCAACGTTCTTCAGTGCCTACTGTATGCAGTACATGGTCCTAGGCATTTCAGACACAGTCACACATTTATTGTTGCTCACAGCAACTTTATGAGGCAGCTGAGGCCCAGACAGGTTAAGTAACTTGCCCACGGTCACACAGCTAGTGAGTCGCAGAGCGAGGATTTGAACCCGAGCACTTGCTCTGTTGTGGTTACACATGCTGTCACATGTCAGGCCATCATGTTTCAAGGTTGTACAGCACAGGATAGCAAAGGTAGAAGAGCAAGACCAGATGGCGGAAAGTTAGAGGGTCAGAAAAAAATATATTTATGGAGCCCAATGCGGAGCGGTATTTATATATTTTAAAGTAATGACGGATACTGTTCTGAAGCTGAGGTACATAACATGGGTCACATTCCCTCTAACAGCCTGCTTTTTCCCCTGCTGGGCAGTAGCAAGGCTTGTAGATCAAAGGTGGAGCCCCAGATCAGGGGCTGGGGGTGGAGGCGCGACCAGCTGCTGGAGCAGCTGCTAGGCTGAGGGAGGGAGAGGGAAAGGGACAAAATCTCAAGCAGACTCCACGCTGAGTGCAGAGCCCAACGTGGAGCTGCATCCCATGACCCTGAGATTATGACCTGAGCCAAAACCAACAGTTAGATGCTCAACTGACTGAGCTACCCGGGTGTCCCCTATTATTTGGCATTTTGCTGGAAAAATCTTAAGTAATGAAGGGGACTATCAGTGTTAAAGTTAAAAAGACACTCTATGGGGGCGCCTGGGTGGCTCAGTCGTTAAGCGTCTGCCTTCAGCTCAGGTCATGATCCCAGGGTCCTGGGATTGAGCCCCACATTGGGCACCCTGCTCAGCGGGGAGCCTGCTTCTCCCTCTCCCGCTCCCCCTGCTTGTGTTCCCCTCTCTCGCTGTGTCTCTGTCAAATAAATAAATAAAAATCTTTAAAAAAAAAAAGACACTCTATGGATAAATTATGTAGAGACTTGCATTTCACTCAAAGCTCTTTTATAGGCAATAGTGAGCCATAGAAATTTCCTGAGTGTGGAGGGACACTGAAGAGTTAGAGGGGGACAGACAAACGCGGTTGGTCCGTGCGATGGTGGAGGAAGAAACTGTGTCTCCCGGGAAGACTTTCTGGGTTTATTAAAGGAGATCTGCTGTTTTTATTTATCCTGGGCCAGTCTAGATATGGGATGAGATGAGCATAGCACTTTGCTCTCCACTCCAATTTGGGCCAATTGTCTTCCTCCTTGTAATATACTTACTGTGACAGATAATAAATGCTCCACTATCCAAACCTACACCTCTCCTCACCATCGTCACTAGTATCACTATCTCTGTGCGTATGTGCGTGTAGGCTGGTGCTTTCTGTCCCACTCTGCCCACCATCAAGGGCAGCCCCTTGGTCAACACAGCGTCAACTTCATGTGCAGCATCAGACTTAGCTCCATGTGCACGTGGGTCACTAATTCATTATTTTTGGTGATGGTGAAGATGATCCATGTGTAGCTGGAGATGTTGGAGGCACTAACAGGCATCCGGAGAGGCCGAAGGTAAGTTCTGGAATATAATCAAGACTCAGTGCAGCCCCAGTCCTGCAGGCAGGAAGAAAAGAGGAGGCACCCCCAGATATCTGTGAGAAATGAGAAGGAAAAGGGGGGGAGGCAGTAAAAGGTGGGGCTGGAGGGATGTGAGATGTAGGAAAGGAAAACGGGCTTTCTCCTGAAAGGTGGGAACTGTGTTGCTGACCGTGGAAGGGTCCATTCTCAGCACCTGTTGAGACCAAACTGAAGCTTTTCTCTCCCATAAATCTGTGTTTCCTTTGTCACTGTAACCTGGGACTGTTTTCTTTCCTGCCCCACTCCTGGGCAGTTCGCAGCAAGTGTGCTCTGGGCTCGCATGGTTGCCAGCACCTTTGTGTGGACGACGGGGCCGCGGCCTACCACTGCGATTGTTACGTGGGCTACACCCTGAATGAAGACAAGAAGACGTGTTCAGGTAAAGACTGTCTCTTCGAGCCTGTTTTGTTTGGAAGGGTCATCTTCTAGGAGCAAGTTTTCCTCTTTAAGTCTGAAGCACAGTTCTGAGTGGTCCTCCTGGTCCGAGGCCTCTGGAGGTTCCCAGCTGTCTTCACGATGAAGCAAGTCTCCCCCCAGCCATTCTTCCCCCAGGATTCCTTTGTCTCTCTTTGTTTTTCTTTCTAATTACAGTCTCTTCCTAAGTTGGATTTTTGGTTGTTGTTGTAGTGACGGTAAGATACACATAACATCTGATTTTGCACTTTGACCATCTTTAAGCGTCTAGTTCAGCAGTGTTAAGTGCATTCCTATAGTTGTGCAACCGTCCCACTCCCCATCTGCAGAACTTTATCATCCCAGACTGAAGCTCTGTACCCCTTCCCTTCTGTCCCTGCCCCTGGTCACCTCTCTTCTTCACCCAGTCACCCCCTTTGCCCCCGGATTCACTGCTTCCACATCCTCTGCTCCACCACGTGGACACCTGGATACTCCAGGAACATGCCCTGCCCGTTTCCACCCTTGGCTGGGACCCCCTTCCTTCACCACTTTCGCTTGTCAAAATCCAAGAACCACACCCTTGCCAACATTTGGTTTTGTTGGATTAAGTTTTTGCCAATCTATCAGAGGCAAAAAAGCGTCTCCCTCTGGTCTTTATTTTTTTATTTCCTGGCTACTTCCTGTATTTATTGGTCATTTGAGGTTTTTATTGGGAAAGGCTGTGTATGCCCTTACTTTTCGCTTGGGTTATTTGTATTTTTCTTATGGATGCAAAGGAACTCTTCGCATTTCTGGATAGAAAGTCTTTGTTGTTTTATGTGTGGCAAATATCTTCTCGTGTTTATATTTTTTACTGAAATGATGTCTGCAACAGTATTCATGATATTTTAATTCTTGAGGTGTGCGGTAGCTTTATTAGTGTTTATTTTCATTATGCTTCATCACTTGCCTAAGTGTTCTCTAAATTGCTTTGTGTGAATCAAATACTACACAATAGTGTTGGTATGTTTGTTTCTCTAATTCCCAGGCCTAGTTCAATTTTACCCCCTCTACCAGAGTTTTTCCCTTTTCATTCCATTGAGCTCAGTCCTCTTTCAGCCCAGGACGCCTTGTGTTGGGGTTACTTGTGTGCTCCTTCAACCATTCCATCGTCCATTCGGTCAACAGAGCGCCTGCTGTGTTCTAGGCACTAGGTATATAATCGTGAACAGAACACGTATGGTCTTTGGTAACAGTCTAAGGGGAAGAGACAAGGAAATAGCAATTTATAAAGAAGAGCTGTGAGAAAAGAATAGGGTCCTGAGACCATGGGGGTTGGGGGACCTACTTCAGATTGGGAGGGTCTCTCTGAGGAAGTGACATCTGAGACCCGAGGATCAGCGGTAGTTAGGTTGGGATTGGGGTGCTGGTAGAAGGAGGGAGAGTGATGCCAAGGCCCACGTGGTGGCTTTAGGGGGAGAGGCGGGGAGAGGCAGCCAGCGTGAGGGAAGCACCCCCAGCCAGGGAAGTGTGGTGTCACTTTGGAGACGGAGGCAAGGGCCGAGTCATGCTGGTCTTCTGGGGTGAGGGGACGGAGTTTATATTTTGTTCTATGGAAAATGGGAAGTCACTGGAGAGTTTTAAGGAGCGGAGCGGCATGATCCTGCTGCTATGTGGATCGGAGGGGACGAAGAGCAGAGGGCCGGGACCAGCCTGAGGCTGTTGCAGTGGTCCCAGGTTGGGTGAGGAGGGTGGCGGTGGTGACAGAAGCAAGCTGATTCCAGATACCTTTCTTTCTTTCTTTTTTTTTTTTTTTAAAGATTTTTATTTATTTATTTGACAGAGAGAGACATAGTGAGAGCAGGAACACAAGCAGGGGGAGTAGGAGAGGGAGAAGCAGGCTTCCCGCGGAGCAGGGAGCCCGACATGGGACTCGATCCCAGGACCCTGGGATCATGACCTGAGCCGAAGGCAGACGCTTAACGACTGAGCCACCCAGGCGCCCTCAGATACCTTTCTGAGGCAGAATGACCAGGATTTGGTGATAAACGGGATGTGGGGAACAGGGCAGGAGAGGAATGAGGGTGACTTTCCTATTTCAGACTTGAGCCTGAAGTCTGAAATCTTCGTTGAGGTGAGGAAGACTGAGAGTGAAGCAGATTTGGGGAGAAAAGTCAGAGTTTGAGACTTGTGTGTTTATGCTCCTGTAGACAGTAAACTCCAACCCCTGAGGGTAGTAGATGTTGTCTGTATTCCTAGCATCTTCCATAGCACCTGACACTCAGTAGATACTTCTTCAGCTGAAGTAAAGTATGGATCTGCTTCTTGGGGAGGGTGAGGATAATAGGGAATAGCTTGTAGAATTTGAATATGTCAGGGTACTGTTACCCTATCTAGGGGTTTAATCCTCAAAAAAATCAGTCTTGGGCATTATTTCTTCTCCTAGAAGACGGGGATTCCAGCCTCATTTATGATGGTTTAGGTCCTGACCTCATTTGCCTAGCCATTTACTTCTCTGCTCAGCAAGTATTCATGGAGCTACTCTTATATATCTAATACTCTGTCAGGTCTTGAGGAAGGAACTGGAGACATACCAATGTTTTGTAGTTTGTAGTGTACAAGTCTTGCACTTCTTTTGTTAAATGTAATCTTAAATATTTTATTCTTTTTGATGCTATTGTGAATGGGCCCATCTCTCATCTTTCAATTGTGCTGCATCCCAGTTTTAAAATTTTCTGGGAGTGTTTTAAATAGACTATCCTACTGAGCCCTTGCCCTCACAGAACTTATAGTTCATCAGGCAAGATACACTGGAAAAGCATCTTGAGTGCCAATTATATGCTCTGTAGAGGGATAATGGGCATGTACTTAATTTCAGGAGATACTTTCTGGCTTACTGACTGACTGATTTGGGCTGGCTGTCCCTAAAAGTTAAGAGGATTTGGACAGGTAGATAGATTATATTTATGGTCATGTTAGCTCTATATCCTATCTTTGTAGAATGTGGGAGAAAACATAGGAGGCAAAAGACCATTCTCTGTCCTCAGGTGATGGTGCTGCTCAATGGAAGATTATACATCAGTCTTCAGATCTGGGAAGTTACTCTTATTTCTATTAGGCAACTTTAGGGGCTATGATAGTGAGTAGGAATAGCTGCTTCACTGTATTTCAGAAAGAACTAGGAGTTAGCATTATCATTCTCCCAGGTTCTTTGCTTAAATGCTGATACAAACCTAAATTTTTACTTCCAAAGTATTTATGGGTAAGAACTAGAACTCTCAATTCAGACCATTCACTAGAATAACAGTCTGTATAAGAAATCAGGAATTATCTAATTTTAATTCTTGAAATATTTTGGCCAAAGAGAGAATTCTTTTCCTTATTTTCATTTCTTAATGAGGACACAGTATCATAATAAGATTAATTATCTTAGCTCTGCATTCTTGGCTTCCCCCTACATCAACTTTTTAAAAATTTACCTTATATCATAGAAAGTTTCCAATAGTTACAAAGTATAGAGAATATAATGAACTCTCAGATAATCAACACTCAGGTTTGATGATTGTAAATGTTTCCCAAAATTCAATTTCTTCTGTGACATTAATATTTCAAAGTATTTTTTCCTCTTTCTGTGTGCTCTTATATCCTTTTACCTCCTGGAAAATGCATTTAGGTAAGTCTTAAAAATGGAAGGATTGAATTACAGATTTCCTGATTTGCTATGGTTTCTAATTAGCTATAACATTTTGTGTACTGTCGTCATCAGCCATTGAAGAAGCACGAAGACTCATCTCCACAGAAGATGCTTGTGGATGTGAAGCCGCACTGGCATTCCAGGATAGGGTCAACTCCTATCTGCAGAGACTGAATGCCAAACATATCCTTTCTGGAAGGTTTTCTGCTTTAAGCCACCCCAGGTAGTATAATTGAGCCAAAGATTTTAGGACATTCCACAGGATAAGGGCCCTATTCATTACGTTTTAAGATGAGCAATAGTAATACAGTGTTTATTTTTTTAGAGTTCTTTTAAAATGTTTTAATAGACTGTTTTGCCCATTTAATATTCACATGCTAAAAGCTGCCTATTTCTTTCTCTAGTGCTTTTCCATAGCAGTATATGCTGTGTTATTAACAGATGGAGCTATTATGCTATGATTCCTTAATATGGGCTTTCTTAGTTCAGAATCTGTAGATGGACGGAAGGAGTTAGCTGATGAGCGAGGTGATAGCTCTAGACAACTGGTCAAAAGCAGATTTCACAATGTAACATGGTACCATCTAAGGAACTTTCGAAATCAGTTCTGTAACTAAAGGAGTAATTCAGGAAAAGTACTTTTTCTTAGATCAAGTTAACAACACTGTCTCTAGGTATCTTAGAGGAGTGGTATTCAAATTGGGGGGGGCACAGAAAGTTTTACAAAAATCCATTTTCAAATCCTTAAATTGACCTACCAAAAATGCTACAGGGGGTCAGCTGGCATTCTCTGTTCCCATCTCTTACTTCATATTGCCATTCTCCTAACTTTACACAAGGAAGGCATACCTCTTATCTAACCTAAATCTTCTAAGGTGAATTTCTTGGAAAGGTAAAATCTCCAGAGAGCCAAACAAAAGGACAGTTCAACAGTTTTCTAATCAAGCTTCATAAACTCCCCCAATTTATTTCATTCATTTCATTCATTCATTCATTTCATTTCCCCAGTTAAATTTTGCCTTTTATTTTTAATAATTTTATGTCAACATTTATAATTTATTTGTTGTTTGATCAATTACATGCTCATACTAGTTGTAATGATAACTCATTCTAGATGATTAAAAAAACTGTGGGCCTTATGGTCAAAGAAAATTAATTTAAAGGTAGTTTCAATATAAATGTATATGTGCTTGTTGTTTGTATAAATTTACCTCAAAGAAGTCTTGGTGATCAAGAAAAGATTTTCAAGATTCAAAGTAGAACAAAATTCTGTGGAGAAAGCAGAAAGGAAATACAAATACAAGGAAATACAAATTCCTTTATTTTAAGTATTTGATTTTAAAAGACAGATAGTAGGTATCCATTCAGTATGGCATTAATATATAGGATATATTTGAAAGACTAATTTAGATCTTATTTTTTAATTAAAAAATTTTTTTTAAAGATTTATTTATTTCAGAGAGAGAGAGGGACAGCAGGAGTGGTGGGGAGGGGCAGAGGGAAATGGAGAGGGGGAGCAGACTCCCCACTGAGCGTAGAGCCCAACACAGGGCTGGATCTCAGGACCCATGAGATCATGACCCAAGCGGAAACAGAGTCAGACGCTTAACTGACTGAGCTACCCAGGCGCCCCTAGATTTTATTTATAAAAAACCAATACTTATGGCAGAAATTGCATATTTTGTAACTAAAACTTATGATGAAAATTTTCATATAATTTAAATATGCACAGACATCACTTGTCAAAATTATTTTAGGGGATAGGAGCAAAAATGTTTGAAGACCACTGCTTTATAACATGCTCTCTAAAGAATAGAATTTCTGAGTTTTAGAGTTTTGATGAGAAACAATTTCACTTTTTCTTTATTGACAATAGAATGTAATTATTTTATCTTGTATTGAAGTGTTTGAAAGTGTGTTTGTGTTTTGTGATGTCTAAAAATAAAAGGAGTTGGCCTTAACAACTAGCCACTTGATGACATTTTGGGGAAGTTGCAAGCAGATGAATATGGACAAATACATCATTGAATTACTCAGATTTTTCACCTGGAAATACGGAGGGCTTGGTGTATTTAATATTTTTGCATACTTCAATGTTCCTGCTAATAATTTGCCATTGCAAATGCTTGGATATTACTGGATAAGTAGTATGAGGATCTTCTGGAGAATCAGTATTTTTTTTTAAGGAAATAATTACGTTCACATCTTTAAGAGCAAACTTTAGTGTCTCTAAGCTATGACTGTGAAATGATTCATAGGAAATAGAATGAAAGTTTAGTATTTCTTTACCAATTGAGCCATTTAATTTTTAAATGTTTATATTAATAAGATAACCATTCTTACAATGGGAACTTTTGATCTATTTTCTCTTGATAGTATTTATAGTATAAACCAGTCTTATTGAGAGTGTGAATTATACAAAGTATTTACACATAAAAAAGTTCATATAATTGAACTGAGGTGAATATAATTTAGAACTCTTTCTTTAACGCTTTGTTTTTGCTCAGCTTTTGTTGGAGTATTACTGAAGCTGTGATCAGGGGATTGTAACATGCATATCTAGATCAAGTGAACACTACATGAAATATTATAAGAAACCCATAACTAAAGACTTTAGTTTTGAATTAAGAGTGTTATAACTTTTTACTAAGGATAAAAAAATCCTACATTATCTTTACTGTTTCACTTTAGGATCCAATCAATAAAATTATATATTTATAAATATTGCTCTAACAAGTAACAACAAACCTAATGTCTTTTTAAAGTTTTAAAGTTTAAGCCTAACTTTTTTTCACTTACATATTTGGTATATGTATTTTTTTTCAGCTTGAAAGCTTATAGTTTTTAGAAGAAAACAGTCCTTTAAATTGTGACTACTCGTTTTTTTTGTTTGTATTGTCTTTAGTATAATAAAAAGTTACTATATTATTGTCATGACTTTTTAAAATTTCATCTATTAACATATTTCCTTAGACTGAATTAACAATTATTTTGAATATATGATGATTTCTTGTTAAAGGACACAGTGTTGTAACTCTTCCCATAATTTAATCGCATACTTTTACGGTTAAAAATGTAAGTTCAGGTTAAATAGGCTTTTATCAAGGATGTTATGGGAAGGGAATAAAACAAAATTATCTAAATTTGGATAAAATAATGAAGTACATTAATATAAGCACCTGAAATGTAAATATAACTTACAGATGTAAACCTAAAATCAGTCAAAAATCTAAAAAAGAAACTTTAAAGAGAAGAAATGAAAAATAAATACATCAAGGCAGTATATATTAAATGAAACATACATTGTCATTTCTCAACACTTTTGAAAGATGACTTAGAGCAGTATTATTTTCCAAACTTATTTTAACACAGAATCGGTAATATCTATTTTTTTTGTTTTTGGTAATATCTATTAATATGTCATGGACACATGGTGCTATAGAAGGAATAAATGACAGTTCGTGTGCAAGCACTGGGGGAAGGTAAAGAGATGATTTTTCAAGAGTGTGACCATCTGTAACTAGTTTCAACTAATCATCTCTTCTACTTCACCGATTGAAATCCCCTGGCTTAGGTATTTCTGATTTGTTTCATGAGCCCAGTATAGGGAGGTCGTTGTGCACAGGCGCCAACATATCTTCAGAATTTACAGTCTGATGTTGAAAAAAGATACACATTTGAAAACAAACATATTATCTGAATGGGATGGGGGTTAAGTTTGGAAGTAATTTCTCAGGGAGACCTGATTTTTACATTTGGCTAGGCACAATTGGCGGAGAGGGTAGGAACATATAAAATGGCCTCGGAGGCAGAAAGCATATTGGCTTGCTTAGAATAGGGGCACCGTCGTAAAGGCATTTCTCTATTGAAGGAAAAACTAATTTTAGCTGGGGTTTAGATTTGATGGGAAAGGCACTGGGATCCTTGTCAATTCTTGAGTGTGCTCGGCGAGGTAATAGACCCACTTCAAAGGATCTGAACATTATTTGCCTGAAATGGGGAAAGACTAGGTGGGGGAATTGGCTCCTGCTGCTGCATAAAGTACGAGCTAGATTATACAACTCAACACCAATAGCCGCAGAATATAGTAAAAGGGAAAATCAGATATAAATTAAAAGACGAGCTAGACTAAAATAATTCCATGGGAGTTTCTGCCCTGTGCCCAAATTATGGTCCTTTGTAACTCTCCAAGCATTCAAAAAGGACAAGGGAGAACTGAAGAACGAATTAAGGTAGAAAAAGGAGATAGAAAACAGTCGACCTCAGGCGAGAAAATACCAAACACCAACCTTAATGATTCAAAAATGGAAGGCTATGCCCCAATGGCAATTCTATGCCGCAAAGGCCCAAAGCTCATACACATTCCTTTTACATGAACTACTCACTGGGCTGCAGTAACAGCTTAAATAAGCTGTTAAAAAGTTCTAAAACAGAATAAACACCATCTCCTACCCCAAAATTGTGCCAGTGTTCTCCAATCCCCAAAGGCTTATAAGGGAAGGATTGCGCTTTCACTTGGCGGACGGCGCCAGCCCACCGAATACAGTAAATGACTTTCCTTTCCACAATGCTGGGACTTTGGGGCTTACAAAACACCCAATCACTGTGACCTCATCTGAATGAGCGCCTTTGCTCCTGAGTTGACACTGACACCTCAGGCAAGTTCCACCGCGACCATCTGAGGTGTGACCTGACCTCCGAGCCAAAGGAAAGGAGGACAGCTAAGGCGACGAGGTGGGGCGCTGAGGTCACCCTCCTGACCCCAGGCGCAGGGCAAAAAGGCCCAGAAACAAAGCGATCAGGCCCAACCACGAGCTCATCCCCGCGTCGGCAGCTAGTCCAAGACCCCCGACATCCGCGCAGGCGCACGACGCCCGGCCGAGCGGGGACGAAGCCGGAAGTGTCCCTCGGCGCCCCGGATGCGACCTGGCGGCGGTGGTTGCCAGGGCGACGGGCGCTCCCAAGAGCTGCTGGTACTCGAGACTGGTGAATTAGAACAGGTTTCCTTTGGTGGGCCTGGACGGCTGGGCTCGTCCTCTCGGAGTTCCCAGGATGTTCTTTTACCTGAGCAAGAAAGTGAGTTTTCCCGCGGTCGCCCTCGCCTCCGCTTCGTTCTCGCGTCCCGCGGGCGATTCCCGCATCCTGCCGGCGAAATCTGGCGTCCTGATCCCCAGCTTCGCCTTCCCGCCTCCCACCTTCGTGCATCGTCCAGCCTCCAACGGTCCCGAACCCCAGATAAATCTCGGCGGAGCCAGCAGCCCTCTCGCACAACTCTCCCATTCCTGCCCCTGGCTGGGTCTTTTTTGGGGAGCCAGCAAGACAGATCATTGTGTCCCTCTCTATCTTTTTTCCTCCACCTATTGTTGACCAGGTGCCTTACATTCTTTGGATTGTCATGGGCTGCCGGGCGAGAGAAAAGTAATAACAAAAGGTAGCCCAAGTGTTGTGTGTGGAAAGGGAATATGGACTGATGGTCTGCATTTATACCTCCGTTTCCCTCTTCCTTCCTGTAAAACGTTCATCAGGTGACTTTCCCACTGGGTTCCTCCGCGGTCAGTGCCTTTCTCTTGTGTGCACTTTTTTCTGTCTTTCGCAAGTGGTAGGGCAGTTCAGGAGATCCTGCCATGCCCATTTTCATCACAGCTCACACTCTGCAAGAAGGACCGTTTTTCTTCTTGAGGTGTGTGTGGGGGGGATTTTCTTCAGCCTTCATCTGTAAGTCACTAGCCAACTCCTTCGTGAAAAGCTGTGAAAGCGGCTGTGGTTGCTTTTCAGATTGCCATTCCCAATAACGTGAAGCTGAAATGTGTATCTTGGAACAAGGACCAAGGATTCATAGCATGTGGTGGTGAAGATGGATTACTGAAAGTTTTGAAATTAGAGACGCAGACAGGTAAATGAATGCGAGCCCAAAGGTTTGAACTTGATGGAAAATTGACTAGTATCATTTGTTCACTGAGATTTGCTCATGGTATTTGTTAGTATGCAATTCTAATTCTTTTAAAACCAAAAATAAACACAAAACTCCCAGTTAGTGGTGTTTTTTGTAGAGTATTTTTGCAGTAAAGTTCAGAGAATATCGAATATAAAAATCAGATGGCTATTGCTATTAAAAGTTCTTGATGGAAAAGGAAAAACAATGAGGAATGAGAACTATATTGCCTTGTCCTTTTCTGTTTATTGTGCTCTACTATTTGGACTCTAATAAAAATGATGTGAATCCACATTTCAGTTAGGTCACAAAATCTCACATTTTGTCAGATTATTTGCAGGCCTGTATCATCCTTTCTGCTTCTCAGATATATTAATAATTATTCATCTAGTTTCCAAGAACAGAAAATGAGACTTTAAAACATTTTTGTCAATAAGTTTCATGTGATTACAGGTTGCTTTCTCTTTTTTTAGTTCTCTGGAATCATAGCAAACAGTTTCACATTTCTTTTAACATCCATAGTATTGCTCTAGAATGGAGAGCTAGACGATCCCCAATCTATATTGGAGATCTAGATGAGGAGATTGGAGTTGGAATCTCAGCTCTGCCATACTGACTTTCAGCAAGTTGGTCAACATCTTTGGGTTTTAGTTCAGTCTTCTGTAAGAAAAAGGGCTGAACTAAATTCCATTTTGGATTCAAAGTCTCTACACTTCAACCCTGGGGCTTTTGCACTTGCTATTTCTGAGTCTGGACTACTCCCCTTTCCCCTCCTCTTTTCCCCACCTCACTTGGCATCTCCAGTTTATTCCTCAGTCTCAGCTTCAATATAATTTCTTCAGAAAGCCTTCCCTGGTTCTCCCTCCCCCCAATCTAAATTAATCTCCCTCTGTCACTATCTTATTATGCCTTTACTTCCTCAATTTGTAATTTTACATATATGCATATATATTTATGGGGGTGGGTGAGTGTCTGTTTAATAATATCTGTCCCCTCGGTAGACTACAAGCTCTCTAAGGGTAGAGGCCTTAACTGTTTCATTTATCATTTTATATTCAGAAGCTTCCACAGTGCATGGCACAATGTAGACATTTAGTGAATGAATGAATGAATAAAAGATTCTGCAAAATCTAGTAAAAACTGATTTCCAAAGACATTGCTTTCTGATCCCTCTTATGCTTTAGAATTTTCAGTCTATATGTCATAAATGTTTCTATTTATGATCTTTTGGGAAGGAATAAGTAGCAATAATAATTACTAATATATTTAATATACTGGGTAAACTGTTTTTTTTTAATACATTTTGTTTTTTTTGTCAGAATAATATCTTTACAAGGGGGTACATATTATTGTCCTATGTTTCCATCATGAGAAAAGTAGATCAGAATGAGGCATACTTAAAAAATCTTTCTAATATCATCCAGGAATAAGAACTCCTTTTAAAATAAGCAAGAAATGTCAAAGTCTTATAATCTGTTAGTTTAATGTATTTGCCGTAATATTTTTTTCCCTAGATGATGCAAAATTGAGGGGTCTTGCAGCCCCTAGTAACCTTTCTATGAATCAGACTCTTGAAGGTCATAGTGGTGAGTCATGTAATTTTTAAAATCGTATTTGAATAGTCTTTAGGCATTTAGAAACCATCTACTTAATGCAGAAATGTTATCATTTTTAATAATGTTAATATTTAAAGTAATCATTTCTATTGAGCCATAATTAATTAATTGAGCCTAGAGTCTTTCAACAACTTTTACATGATTAAACAATGTCTTCAGTAAATCTAAAACAAAGTCGGTCTTATTTTATATATTAAAAAATACTGTTATTTGTCTACAGATAGGATATAATCCTTTTTTAGAATCTGCTCCGTGGTTCCACATCAAAGTAGACTAAAGAGACATGACAACTGAATGCACTCTATGATCCTAGATTGGATTTTGGAATGAGAGAAAGAAGTACCTATAAGGGACATTATTTGGACAATTGATAAAATTTGAATGTGGACTGGGGTTAGATAATATTGTGTCAGTGTTAAATTCACTAATTTGTAATATGGTTATGAAAGAGAATGTCTTCTTAGGAAATGTACACTAAAGTACTTAGGGATTAAAAAAAAACAACTAAAAAAACCTCAGTTGTTCATATAACCCAGAGGTTTAAGATATGCTCAAGAGTGTGTTTCTAGGGGGTGGGGGGATGGGGTAACAGGGTGATGGGTACTAAGGAGGGCACATGTTGTGATGAGCACTGGGTGTTATACACAACTAATGAATCACTGAACACTACATCAAAAACTAATGATGTTTACAGTGGCTAACTGAACATAAAAAAAAAGAGTGTGTTACTAATAGAATGGAAAACAAGAGGGGGGAAAAGAGAAATTAGGGCATATATCAACCACAAACAACCCCCCCATCCCTCTAAAAAAAAATCCAAGTACTTAGTATGATGTCCTTTGGGCATTATTATCCTTGGGAGTCAGACCAGCTGGGTAAATCTTACTTACATTTGTTTCTGTCATCAGATATATGGCAGCTCTTGCATCTGACCATAATAGGTGCCTTTGCTGGCCTGGAATAGGAGCAAACATGAAAATATCACATGTTGTAGGAAATGAGTGACAATAGTGACTACATCCTATGAATATGTTTGAGTGATTTATTAAGAGTGGCTAGTTGCACAGGAACCATATTGATTTGAAGATGATATTGGTGTTTATTATAAAAATACAAATTTGAAATTGTCGCCTTTTTTAAGTTTCTAAATTGTTTTATAATTTTTTTTAGGTTCTGTTCAGGTTGTAACATGGAATGAACAGTATCAGAAGTTGACTACCAGTGATCAAAATGGGCTTATCATTGTTTGGATGTTATATAAAGGTATGCTAGGAGAGCTTATGGAACCTTTCACAGATTGGAGTCTGGGTTATGGTATTTGAATGGGGAAACTACATATTTGAAATAGACTCCTTTTAACCAGCAGCAGGAGTTCATCCTGACGACATGGGGGTAATATTTCTGGATTTATTGCTGCCTACTTTTCCTTTTAACTTTACTTTTTTTTTTTGAACTGTGACCTTGTATGAGGAAAGTGAACTAGGTGACTGTTGGTTATCTCCAAAATGAACATAGGCCCTTAGCAGGATAGTTTCTACTTGAGATAGCTTTTTCCCCCCCCAGGTTTCCAATAAGAATTATTTTCTGTGTGATCAGTGGCTAGAGTTAATCCAGTGGGTAAAAACATTTATTAAGAAGTCAGGGGCAATAGGGCGCCTGGGTGGCTCAGTCGTTAAGCGTCTGCCTTCGGCTCAGGTCATGATCCCAGGGTCCTGGGATCGAGTCCCACATCAGGCTCCCT